AATTTCCTGAGAAATGAGGAAATATTTTACTCAGACTATAAGGAGAGGGTTATTTGTCTCCCACCCTGGGAAATTTCCCCCCTAATTTGACAGGCTTTAAATAAATTGTTTGTTTTAATTAAGTTTGAAATGGGACAAGTGCATAAACTAAAAAGCCCCTTGCTAGGATAAGAGGATACAATAAGATTAGCTGTGAAATTCACAAATGATGTCTCTTTTGCTGTAGTGATTAATTGCAACTCTGTAATTAGGTATTATGAAATTTAGGTGGATTCAGTTTTATGAAGGTAATTTTGGACATCCCAGAGGTGGGAGGAGAAGAGATTACTTCTTTGTATATCACATGGAACAGAGGAATAGTAATCTGAAAAGCAGAACTTGGATACTGGAAAGAGACCCTGAAGACATCAATTTGCAAAGCTTTAAAGTGAACCCCTTTGCTTTTCTTATGAAATGTTGGAAGCAAGGGCAAGAGAGTGAATCATCAAACACAGATACCATTAAAATCCCAGTCTTCTAAAGGCTAGATCCTAACCCTGGTTTATCTGAAGGGAAGAAGTGTGGTAGCCACATACATTATGTAAACTGGGTACACACTGGGCCAACAAATCCTGTCGGCTTGGTGCACTGTGGAAGAGGGATCAAAGAAAACCCAGATCTTCTCCGTGAGCAGCTGTCTTGGAGCTGTTTGAATGAAGGGGAAGTCTAGGGAAATGAGTATGCCTCCATCTCCCAAGCTTCCCTATATGGTTCCTAATCCTGTCTCCCCCACCCAACAAAGGTATGGCAGTTACTGCAATACCCACTAGTCACCTCTAACAGGCACAACAAAGCAAGGCCAAAAACAGAGTCTCTTTATTGTGTGGTGCTTAGTGGAAGTCACTAAAAGAGAGGGAGCGTCTTAGATGTGATGGGCCCACTCTGAGCTTCCTTGCTGACACTCTCCATGGTAGATTGTTGAATTTGTAGAGTTAGGTGAATAAATTTCTAAAATTAAAATGTAATGGCCCAGTCTTGCAAGCACTCCATCCCTGGAGCTCTAGAGGGGGGAGAGGGGTCCTGGTTATATTAAGTCTCACTTTCGCTAGCTCCCTCTTGCTGTTTCCCTATGTTGCACTATACAAGCCATTCTTCCTTGTCCTAAAGGTTCTCACACTACTTAGTGAAACTTATTTACTATCCAGATTGAGGGAGTTATGTGCATTATTTTTTATAAATATCACATGCGCCTTAGTTTACCTGTGTGATATTATCCCGCCTGGCTGCATAAAGTTAAATCAAAGGAGGCAGCAAGTGATAGAAATGAAGAAATGGCAAAGATAAGTACTATTATAGAGAATGCCTTTGTGGGAAACAATGGGGAAGCTATTAGTTGGGGAATACTCCTGGCCCGGCTCCAACTAGGCTGGCAAAGTTTACTCTTCCTAGGCCAAATGAAGGAATATAAAATCTTAAATATGCTAAGCCTAGGGAAGAAGAGAGGGTTGAGTGGGCTGTCAGCAGCTGCCCTGAAGGGAAACAATGAGGAGGGAAAGAATTCAGAGTGCAAGTCTGTTTCTCTCAACCTAGAGATGGAGATAACGGGGCTGAATGGAATTTACAAAGCCCTCAAGGAAAGATTAAGATTTAGAGGAGGGGAAATATGCATACAAACCTTTATTGTTTTTACCCTGTGCTCTGAGTGCTATTGACTTTTGGGGTGAATAGATAATGCTGTGGTTTTTGAAGGAGCTGGTTTTCAGTCACTTTAATCAGCCACTGTCACCAAGTCCTCCTGGAGGAGAAGTGTTAACAGGTGCCAAGCACAGTTGGTCCTGTTGTGCATCAGGGTTGGTAAGTGCGGGTTGCGGCCCAGAGACCCAGTCCTGGAGTGGTAAGACTGTGTGGTTCAAACTGAGAAGGTTGAAGATAACAAAACCTGTGTAATATGCAGCTCGCCCTGTAACCATGATAAGTGCTCATTCCAAAACCATCTTAACTTGTCCGTAATAAGAATAATATAAGGAGAAGGGACACAATGAAATTGAAAGACAAAATGTAAAACTGTTAAAAGGACTTTTATTTTTTTTTACAAACTGCAGGATTAACCTGTAAAACTCATTGCCATAATATATCCTTAATGGAAGAGTTTTGTGGTATTCAAAAAAGAATTAGAGATTAATATAGATGATATTGACTGACTTTAAAATGTTTTTATCTTACCTAATGTAACTAACAGCTTGCACTACAGGGCATAAGACAGCTTGTAATTGATAAGAGTTGGGAAGAAAGGTCCTCGTAAGCAGATCTCCTACATGGTGTCTTGAATCTTTCTCTGAAGCATCTGCAATTGACCGTTATCAGAGACAGGATTATGCATTTAGATGAATCACTGGCATGATCCAGTGTGGCAGTTTCTGTATTTCTAAATAAGTATGCATTACTGAGTAACCACATTCAGGATTTTGGCTGGCAGAAGAGTCATACTCTGCATTTTCTGTAACTGCAGTGGCCCAAATCCTTCAGTCCTTACCCTGTCTTTATACAGGCAAAACTGCTTCCATTAAAATAATTAAGGACTGAGTGAAGACTGTAGTTTGGTCCATTTTATGTAATTGTAATTAGGCAAGATTAGCTAATGTACTGTATTGAACAGTACAGTTTCTTTCTGAAATTCCTGGGAAATTTTCTGTTGTGGCTTCTAGTTTTCTGACAAATATCATCTCATTTTAAAATGGCAAATGTATATGAATTGTCTTCCAGATGTTCCCAAAATGCATAAAATATTTTTTCTTTTGATCCTATTCCTGTTACTCAAGCCACATCTCTCCACTCCCTTGATTAAACATCCTTACTGTGAGGACTACCACTATATCTCCACTTTGTTCCTCTTCTTTGGCCATCTTTCTTTCTCTTATTTCTTCCTCTTCTCTGTTTTTTGATGACTCCTCTTTTCTCCCATCTGTATTTCCTTCCCCGAAGTAACTCCCAGTTCCTGGTCTTCATGGGCTTTGCTGCTACCCCCTTCCATTTTCCATTAATAAAATTATTAATGCTAACACCAAAGTGTCATTACTGGAATTTAGGTTCAACATCCTCACCCCATACCAAGGGATGGGGAGTATACAGAACTAATGTTTCAAGCTATCAGCAGACTCGGAAAGACAAGAGGGTAACAATTTACACACAGTTCATTTGGAAGGCTATCTTTACAACAACAGGCAAAAATCTGTGTTGTTTTTTTTTTTTATGAAAATTTAGATTCTGGAATCTGAGTATTTGATGCATTTTAGTGGCATTTATTAATCAGGCCATGTAGGGTGGATGTTTGATGCTGCAGGTCTAATAGTAATCATTCAAATTCCAACCTCTAAATCTAGACATTGGGGTAGCATGTAACTATTCTTATTTTGCACCTTATGAAAAGCCCGGGTTAACTAAAAGAAGGTGACATGAATATTTATTACAAAAAACACACTAGCAAATTTTAATGGCTAGGATGAGGATGAGGTAAACATGGATGTAACGATTTGTTCAAGGTGAATTAAAAGGACTGATATACATTTAAAAGCTTAAGTGTGTTGGAGTGAGATAGTACTTTTATGGTAGCATGGCAAGCGCTAATAGGCCATGATTATGAGTTATATAGTGCAAACATCTTTTACATTATTGTCAGAATGTCTATGGGAAAGAATTAACATCAACCTTCTAGAGGTTCTCTTTCTTCACTGGGCCCAAGGAAATTTATAACTGAGAAATGAAACTCACAAAAATGCAACTGCTTTCATAATCCAATGCAGATGTTATAAATATTGCATGAAAGTTGCATGTGCAGGGTAAATCACCATTTTTATTAGTTGGAATTTGCAGAGCTAAGTCTCATCATTTTTCTGTTCATGAAAAGTCATTGTATGCTGTGTAGATGCACTGTATATATTGTTCTAATGTTTATATTTAATTGTTCAAGGTCAAATGAAAAAAGCAATGGCAAATTTTTCCTATGCAGGAGGCCAAGATTTGTTAAACTGGCATCTTCAAAATCAACTGAACTTTATAATGTAGTCTCGTCTTAAGCACATCATATTTTCATAGCAATGACAATGTTGGATATCTGTTGCAATTAATATTCACATGAGAAGCATCTTTTTATATATGGCAGATTTCAGGATCTGTGCCGAAGATAAAGAATTAATATATGTAAACAATAGCCAGGGTTGCAATTAAACTATCCACAGGTAACAAGTTTATACTGCATCTTGTAATAGCACCTTTTAGTTTTTCTGAAAACATTTTAACACACCTGAATCAGATTAGCAAAGTCAATAATGAGTTCCAAATTTTAGGGTAACTTATTAAAAAGCATTATCAGTAAATGTCAGTGGAAAAAGCTTGTACTAAATGTTATATTTAAAAATGAAACACCCACCTGCACTTATTGCATAGGCCAGAATCAAAGAACACTAGTGCCACTGAAGTGAGCCTGGCAAGCATAACAAGCCAAAGCATGAAGATTTCTATATCTAGCTTTAAAAGAAAAGATTCAGATTTTTCATTAAACTTTTTGCCATCCTGATCTATATTCTGAGTTAATGGAGTGTGTAGAAACCTGAAATGCATAAGGGCAGGAAGGTTCAGGGTGGTGTTATTTCATAGAACAGTGATTATTTACATGGAATGAGACACAATATAGCAAAAAGATATTTTTTATAAAAATGGGTTAAATAAATTCCTTGTTGCCTGAAGTTTTATTTTATCCCATTGGCAAGTGAACATTCAATGGTATCTTTGTCTCTTGGTAAAGATTTCTTTTTCTTTGTTTTATGTGATCTAACTCCTTTGTAATGGATTTTCAGTTCACTTCTACTGTGTTAACTAATGAGACAAGATGCAATTGTGAAGTATAATTTCAGAAAACCACAGTACAGCAGATTGTCAGAAAGTTTTGCTATTGCATATCTATACATTTAAATCATACTACTTTTATTAAATATGTCCTATATTTATCTTCCCTATTTGAACAGAATCCAGAGCTAGTCCGAAACATCTGTCGCTGGGTTAGACAAGCTGTTCAGATTCCTTTCTTTGCAAAGCTGACCCCAAATGTCACTGATATTGTGAATATTGCAGTGGCTGCCCAGGAAGGTAACAAACTCAAATGCATGTACTATACAATTATATTGATTTGCAACTTTATTGCTCAAAGCAGTAACAAATATTAATAAAAGCTAGTATGAAACAGATTGTTTAAAATATGTAGAGTAAGCATAGTGCTTGCTATTAAAGGTTGTCTATACAATTTTGCTCTATTATGTTTATTAACATATAAAGTGAATACTGTAAACATCTATCTATCTAGAAAGAGCAGTGGGTGATATAGATATAGAGATATAAAATCATGATTTTATATGTATAATATGGCCAACATTTATTTACCATGATGTAGCAGTTTGGAGTAAGACCAAATTTTATCGGGGTTTTATATCCATTTTTTCAGTTTTCAGAATGCTACATCCTGGTAAATACTATTTGTCCAAACAGATAACAGACTCAGTCAGTTAGGCTCACTTAATAGTTTCACTGCATTTCTCTTCATGTAACCGTAATTTCTTCATTGAGTCCCTATGTGTATTCCACACATAAGTGTGTGCATGCATGCCATGCACCCAAGTCCAGAATTTCTAGCAAGCGGTGTCCTTTGGCCTGCATATACGCAGTAGTTCACCTCATGCTTTAAATCGAGGTCATAAGAGGCAGTGCAAACCAATACCTCTCTAGTTCCTTCTTATTGCCACGTGGTCTGAGTCAGAATCCCTGCGTCCATGGGTTTCTCCAGCTTTTACTATTATTACTCTGCAAATAAATTTGTAAATAGCTTATAGTTCATATTAGCATAGTTAGAGTTCTTAGTATAATTAGTATAGATAGTGTTTGTTCTAAGAGTCTGGGATGTGCCTAGAGTCCCAAGGTTCAAGAACTGTGTCTCCTCCCTCTGCTCCTTTTCTGTGAACGACAAGCACCAACATTGTCTCTACTGTCTGGGGAGATGAATATTGCTGCAAAGTGCAGCATATGTCACTCTTTTCCATTGTAAACTCATGACCGTAGATTAAGAAAATACCTTATGGAGAAGGCTCTGAGGCCTCACTGTGTTTCGAGCCAGGGAGATTCCCCCCTGTACATCCACATTTCCAAAGACCTCCACATACCATTGGAGGAGGTTCAGGACGTCCAACATTGGCTCTTAGATATTCTGCAGCCTATAAGTCAGAGCAAGGTGGTGCTCCTGTTTAACAAGGCTATTGTAAGGTCTGGCACACCTCAGCCTCATGTGCCAATATGCCTAAGAGGGCCAACAGGCACTATTTCATCTCCATCAAAGACGCTGAATTTCCCTTCTCCCACCTAGCACCCAACTCCTTGGTGGTAAATGCTGCCAGCGGAGAGCAAAGTTACAGGATCCAAAGACAACTCCAGCTGATAAGGCCTTAAAGAGGTGGGGCTTTTGAGGGAGAAAGATCTTTTCCATATCACTGACTATCAAGTCTTGTAGGAACATCTCAACTAGAACCTGCTACCTAACTACAAGGAAACATGGACTCATAGTAGGCAGCCAGGCAGCCATCTCAAAAGTCTTCAGGTATCCCACTCATTTAGGATAAACTTCAGTTTTCAAAGATCTCAGGTCTTTCCATTAGCTCACTGCAGGGCCATCTCATGGTAAACCCATATACTGTTTTTCACAAGAAAAAAGTCTTTCTTCGATTGCATGCTAAATTCCTACCCGATGTTATTTCAGAATTTCATGTCAACTAAACTGTTCACTTACCCATTTTCTTCTGAAACCCCATGCCTTTGTTAAGGGGAAGAAGCTCCATTCTCTCCGCATCAGACACACCTTATTAATTTATCTGCAGAAGACCAAATCTCTCAGAAAGTTTCCTAGTCTATTTCTCACCATAGCAAAGAGGTTGTGAGGACAAGCTGTATCCTCATAGAGGATCTCCAAATGGATTTCTGGGTGCATCATCATGTGCTACAATTAGCTCAGATCCCTCCACCTGGCAGAGTAAAGGCACATTCCACTAGCTGCCTCTATAGCATCACTGCAGGAATTACCATTGCTGGACATATGCAGGGCGGCTAACTGGAGTTCCATTCAGACTTTCACTAAACATTAGGTGCTAGTTCAAGCTTCCACCATGGATGCAGCTGTGGGAACTGCAGTACTTCAAGCATCTTTCTCGCCAGCATCCTCGCACCCCCCTCAAATCTGAATACTGCTTGTCTATCGCTCATATGTGGAATACAGATAGGGACCAGCACCCAAAGAAGAAATGGATCTTACTTACCTGTAACTAGAAGTTCTTCAAGTTGTGTGGTCCATATCTGTATTCCACTACCTGCCCTCCATCCCCTCTGTTTCAAATCCTTCTGGATTTGCGGTAAGAGGAGAAACTATAGGGGCACTGGCCCATGTTTCCTCTTATGCCCTTAATCTAGAGCATGAGATGAATTACTGCACATGTCTGGGCCAACAGACACTGCTTGTTAGAAGTTCCAGACTCGGGCACATAGACCACATATCTCTAAGAAAATCCAGTTACAGGTGAGTAACCTCCATATTCACAATGTGTAATAAGAGTAAGGCCCAGATCCACTAGCACAATACGGTCCATTAGCCAGTATAACCAAACATGAGAATGCAGGGAGATCTCCAGAGCTGTAGAGCTAGTGTGGCAAATCCGATGTCTCACCCAGCGAAAGGAGCATGGCCAAGGACAAAAGAGATCTGTCTTAGGAGCCCCTATGCTCAGCTGCCGTATCAGCCCCTTAGGGCCCTTGCAACTGATGCAAGTTTCCTTCAGGCTGGTCTTACTTTTTCTAGGGGACTAGCTAGCCAACCCAGGATTGGTTTTTTAAAGCCCCTTTTCACACCTCCTCCTGATTTGCACTGTGCTCTTTGGCCTCAGAGTCTCTGGGTCTAAATATCTAACATTTAGACATTTAGATAGATAATATCTAACATCTAACTGTTTCTATATTTATTTTCCTCTGTTGTACTTGTACAGGGTGTTTAACAAAAAGTGAATGTTATTTCTTTCACAGGTGGTGCAGATGGTGTTACAGCCATGAACACTGTGTCAGGACTGATGGGGCTAAACGCAGACTGCACACCTTGGCCTGCAGTTGGTGGAGAAAAGAAGACCACGTATGGTGGCGTGTCTGGTAAGTGATGTCTTTTTGATCCATAATGCTTCCTTGGAGGCTGACAAAACATCGGGAGGTCCTTGTAGTGGGCTAGAATATCATGTCGGCAGTAGTGCTGAGTTCTTAAAGCTCACTGATGGTCAATGTTTCTAATAGTCATGACAGATGGAACAGATTGAGTGTGGAGACTCTTGTGTTGCCCTTTCCTTAATGGTAAAACACTGCAACAGAACACTGTGATAGGGTCACTAGAGAAGGAGGAAAATCTCTTCTCTTGTGACCCACAGTTTTCCTAGAATTTTTCATTCTGTCACAATTGTCAGGCCACATGTTAGACAGAGGCTAATGAAAGGGCATTGTAAGGGGAAAATATAAACATTCCAAGTGCAGTATGTGTATTGTAGGCTGAACCTTTCTCCTACCACATGGAAATCCACGTACGATAAATCCTTTTATTTTCTTTCCACCATGATAAAAACAATGTATCACCTTTAGTAAATATATGCATATTATATATCCTTTTCCTTTGTAATATTTATACTTGTATATATGGTATTTCAGTGTGATGATTGAGGATATGATTTTAAAACCAGCAACAAAAAGTTTTATACTCTAATTCATTGTCTATTCTCACTAATGTATTAATCTGTTGACCCTGTGCACGCTGTCACTGTGACAAAGTCCTGCAAAGACAATGCTGTGAGCTTCTTGACTGTACTGGTATGAAGATTAGTCTCCATGGTGATAGAGAAAGTGGTAAATATACATAACATAATAGCATCCCACTGTTCAAGTAAAGCACTGCTGAATTGGTCCAAAAAAATTATTTGGAGGAAATTGGACAGACAAAAAATGCTTTATTTTATGTAGTTATGTTATACTTCGAGAACATAGAGGGGCAAATACAATGGGTTGGGTATTTTTAATTGACTTTAATGTATACAAATCATATACAGTGGTAAATTGCCTGTTGCCTTGGATAACTAAATAACATCCAGAAGTTTTTAAGGGCACCTCTATACTACAGTGCAAGGATAAAAAAAAATCTGCTTATTGTATAATGATTATTTCATAGTGACTGTCAAACAAGGCATTAAAATATTATTGATATGCAGAATGGAGGATGCAGAGAGAGAGAGAGCAGTTACACAGTGTTAGGGTTGTAGTACTCACTAGGCTTTCTGTCAGCCCATTTCAATTTTTCCAGACTGCCATGTTGACAGCAAAAGAAAAAAGGAGGTCACAGTGGGTGCTGTGCATTAAAAATTAATAAAATAACTATTACAGTAGTATTTTATATAACTAACACTATTCCCATTTTCTCATTTAAGCTGCAATTTCTGAATATTCCTTCCTACCATAAGTCAATCTAATAAAACCATAAAATTACAGCATTATGAAAAGTGTGTCCTTTGTGTCACAAATTTAAAACATGTACATTGTGTAAATTATAGCAGCAGCTGAATGCTCAGCTGTACCTAAGAGTTTCTCAGCATTTCTATATTTTCTTGATTTATAATTCTGCTATAAAAATTCACTTTTGGTATCATAATAGATCCCAGCCTGGGAGAGGTTTGGGTTTTTCGTTTTAAAACATACATGTAAAAAGGGTTTTTTTCATTTCTCAAGCTATACATATATCAAAAGAAATAGAAGATGGTGGTTTGGGATGCAATCTTACACTCATAACACCAACCTAAGTGTCTTTAAAAAAAATTTTTTTAAATGGAAAGGAGAAAAAAGCACCCAGCCCATTGAGTTTGGGTATATTTTGAGAGTGCATTTCTGTAGACAATTAAATAAATTGGACTATAAATAACATCACTAAGGTCCCAATCCTCCAACTCACTGTATGCAGGAATGCCATAGAGCGCCAATAAAGTCAAGCGTGCTATGTACAGACATAGTGATACATCTGTGAATTGCAGAACCATGGCCTAATAATGTACAAATGTATAAAAGTGCTAAAATAATTCAGAAAAGAGCTAGCCTACTCTCTTAATAGGAACATAAAGAACAGAGAGAGTATGTCTAGTTGTTAGATCAAGAAACTAGGAGTCAGAAGTCTTGGGTTCTATTCCTAGCAGCTTCACCAAGGTCCTGTGTTGTGTGTCCCTGAACCAGACACTTGACCTTTCCATGCTTTAGTTTCCCTGTCTGTTAAATGGAGATAAGACCATTTACATGCCTATAGGCTTGCTTTATATTATTTTCTTTTACATTCTATGCAGCCGTATAGATTTTTGTTGCTCTTTCAAAAGTAGAAAAAAACATCAGATCATCTTTTGGGGCTAAAATTTATCTTTGATGTAAGTCAAAGGTAGTGGTGAATATGGCCCATTTTCTTTACAAGATTTACAAAAGCAAAATACTTGAGTGGCTACTGTCTTTTTAAAAGATCCCCATTGTACTGGAATGTACACACTAGTTATGGAGAAGCTGTCTGGATCATAGATATTAGAGATGGAAAGGTCCTACCTTGTGGTCATCTAGATCATCTCCCTGCCAATACATGCTTGTTCCTTGCAATAGACTATGTGGTGCTTTGTTTCATCTAGTTTGAAATGGACTTGTGGTACTTCTTATCAAGGGTTTCCCCTCAGGAGGGATGTACAGTGCAAGGTAATATGTCCAGTTGCTCTGTTTTCTATGCTAGCACTGAAGTTGTCCTAGGGGTGGGTAGCATGCCATTTTCTGCTATTTTACTATTCTTGTATTACTGAATGAAATACATTATTCTCATAGAATTAGCTCCAAATTATACATTTACAAGTTTAATAAAAACGTACATTACAGAGTGAATGGTAAAGTCTGTCAATGTCCTTATCCAGATGTGGCCTGACTTTTCCACTTCAAACCTTTCCCAAGAAATGGACTTCCTATATAGAGGATTATGGATGTGCCCTCACCATGGTATAAACTACAGAAACTTCTTTTATGAACTGTTCCCATTTGGCTATCTCTCCCTTTCTCTGCTTTGTACAGAAGTGACTGCATCTGGAAGGGCTGTAATTACCCACCCTTTCATGGGAAAGATCTCATTGAAAGAAGTTATATTTTTAAATTCCTATTAAAGAATTAGGGTGTGGAAAATATTTTCCTTTGATTTATTTAAAAGGAATAAAAAGGCCAATCAAAACAGCTGTTTAGAGAATTCACTGCCTGGAATTACAGGGTAGTCTCAGAGATGTGCTTCTGTCATCTTTTTAAATCTCTTTCCAGAGACAGCAGTTTAATAATGTTCTTCTGAAAGTACAATTCAAATTGGAGTTGTTATATTCAGTGTTAACTTCCCAGGTGCTGAATGGGAAAATAGATTCCTGTTTTAAGTGTTATTTAACCTGTTTTAAATTGCTGAACATCAATAAGCATTGTTGTTTCTCTCATTGTACTGTATTGTTGATGTGATTACTTTGACACTGGAAACTACTCCTTGGCGGTCAAATCCTAAACCCAGCTCACAGATGAAATAGAATAACTGGGCTGTATGCTGGAGAGGTCTATGGAGTTCAAGAGGAAAGAATCCTTCCCCCACAGGTTGCAGTGAAGCACCATTGCTGCTATGCACCCACAACACAGCTCTAAGGCCACAGTATACCCATAGTCTCCTGTGCCAGCTCTTTAGGGAGGGAATAATATTATATTCATCCTAGGGTTGCCAGGCATCTGGTTTTCGACTGGAAGTGCCTGGTTGAAAAGGGACCAGGCGACTCCGGTCAGCACCACTGACCAGGTCGTTAAAAGTCCAGTTGGTGGCGCAGTGGGGCTAAGGCAGGCTCGCTGCCTACTCTGGCTTCACGGGGCTCCTGGAAGCAGCCGGCATTTCCCTCTGGCTCCTAGGCAGAGGCGTGGCCACAGGGGCTCCGTGCGCAGCCCCCGCCCCAAGTGCCAGCTGCGCAGCTCCCATTGGCTGGGAGCCGCAGCCAATGAGAGCTGTGGGGGCAGCACCTGTGGGTGAGGGCAGTGCGCAGAGCCACTTGGCTGCGCCTCCGCCTAGGAGCTGGACCTTCCGGCCGCTTCTGGGAGCGGCCTAAGGTAAGCGCCACCCGGACCCTGCACCCTAACTCCCTGCCCCAGGTTGGAACTCCCTCTCGCACCCAAACTCCCTCCCAAGGCCTGCACCCTTTACCCCAACCCCCTGCCCCAGCCTTGAGCCCCCTCCCGCACCCAAACTCCCTCCCAGAACCTGCAACCCCACACACTCCAAACTCCTCAGCCCCATCCTCACACCAGAGCCTGCACCCCCAGTCAGAACCCGCACTCTAACCCCCTCTCCCAGACCAGAGTCCCCTGCAGAAATGAATCCCTCATTTCTGGCCCCACCCCAGAGCCCTCACTCCCTCCTGTACCCCAACCCACTGCCTAGCCTGGGGAAAATGAGCAAGGATGGAGGAGAGTGAGCGACTGAGGGACGGGGGATGGAGTGAGCGGAGGTGGGTGCCTCGGAGTAGGGGTGGGGCATGGGCAGGGACTTGGGAAGAGGCAGCGTAGGGGCGGGGCAGGGATGTTCGGTTTTCTGCAATTGGAAAGTTGGCAACCCTAATTCATCCACTTCCTTAAATGAGATCCCAGTAGCTGTCCACTCCCTCACACAGGGCAACTGTATGGGTCAGAGCCTCCCATTTAGTTTCTCCTAACTGTTAAGGGAACAATACTGAGATCTGGAACTACTCACATGCATTAAGCTGATCATGTGTGCTTGCAGGACTATAGTTTGCTTTTATAAGACATTCAATAAGCATTTTACTATTAGTACTTCCTGTATATGTGCAATATTAAATATTTTTTTAAGTTAATTCTCATTACATGTATTTGCACAAAAAATAGTTATGGCTGGCTCTGAGAGAGATGTTACAGTCTACTATGTAAATAGTAAATAATTTGAAAATTGTGTGTTTTATAGGTACTAGAGGTGTTAGGTACTTAACTTTAAACAGAAAAAAAAATCTGAAATTTTGCCATAAGTTTTCACATGGTATTTACATATTCCATATGTGTTTTGTTTTTATAAAAATACA